GTTTGGGTATTGAGTTTGTGAATGTAATTTATTGCCTTTGCCTGTCTGTTAATAGTCAAATTGAACAAAGTAAACAAAGCTCTCTTCTTAAGTTAACTATTTGAAGCTAGGTGCTTCTTTGTTTATTTTTGGTTAACTAACAGTGTTATGATAATGGTCAGAGCAATCATTTTCAAATGACATAAATCCAAAATGATTTTCCTTGTTACAAGGAACAGAACAATTCATTATTACCACCCTATGCATGAAAAAATAACTCCATTCTAAGATGGAGTTCTCGCCACCATCTCTCAATCTGTTTGAATATTATGAATAATTAGCTGCCACTTCTTCTTCTACTCTTCCTACATGTATATTACTGGTATTTGTAATTTCTATTTTTGTGTGGCAAATAAAATGGGAAATATAAATTAATTAATTAAATGAAATTCTTAACTTGTTAAATACCTTGCATGAAAGACTTGATGTTCAGGGCAGGACAATTAAAGAAAACTGACACTAACAGTAATGATTGCAGACAATTACAGTTGTAAAGTACTGTATAGGCAACTCAAAAGTACATTAACAGGCAACCCAGGCTGGTCACGTATGCGACCTGAATCAGTGTGCTGCAAAGCGTGGTGGCTTCACAGCAATGACTTGCTCATTTACTAAACTCACATGCAAACCATTGAGGTGCATGTGATTATTACCCATACCTTATTATTAGTAGAAGGCCCATGGTGAACCGTGTTGGATGCATCAATATCTTCGTGGGACTGTCTTAGACAGGCATGAATGGTTGCCGTTATGCCAGTCTCTGATCCTTTATCCAGCCTCAGATATTGGCTGATTACTGTTGAGGGTAATAGGAGATCAATGGTCATAACCTATTTATACTTTGTATCCCGAGTCCACAATAAAAAGACATCAGTCATCAAGCTGTTAATATTAATAATATCGAAGGGCCCAGAATGAGGTTGTGTGAAATCGACAAATTCTTCTGAAAGTTTCAGATTTCATGCGTCAATGTTTATTTATGTTTTAGGATGTTATATGACAAACTTTATCAAGACACTGGGGGTACTCCCTTACATGACCTATAATCTAGTGTGAGGATAGGGTCCTAAAATAGCAGGTGTTGTCCTATCTAGTGTAGGTTCACCTTTTTTTATCCTAAATGGGCTCTGAGGGTCAGACCCTCAGCAGCACCCCTATACCCAATTATTGCTCAAGTACACTGCCCCTAGAACAAGATGAAAACTCTCCAGTTATTTGAAGACCCAGTATTGTCCATTATGCTCCATGTGCCTGTGTTATTGTTTTTGTGTGCTTAGGAGTGAGGTGTCTATTGTTCAGAGACATGTGACTCATTTTCGACGATACCTTTCATTGTGAGCTATTTAACAGCCATTTAACAGTGTCTGGAGCTAAGAAACTCTTTTACAAGATACTGCAGGGGGAGCAGGGTGTATTGTTCATGGACAATTTGGTGGGTCTAGGAGATGGGACTTGTACACATTCCTCTTCACCAATATTGATGTCAGACTCTGTTTAGCCCCTTCTATGATAACAACTATCAACTGCAGTTACCCCTTGATTCATAAAGATACTCCAAATACCACCGTGCTATCAGTTTAGGATCTGAGTTTGAGGGCCACAGTTTCAAATAAAGAATGTAGCCACTAAAAACATCTTGTAAACCATAAACGGCCAGGGGAAATTTGTTGTTCATGAAATCCATAAGTTTATCGTGGCCATCTCCAGAGTACGTGTGGTTTGGGCCCTGTAAGAAACCAAATACAACCAAAAAACTTGTAAATTTCCATTGAGAACCTGCTTTTTCATTATCAAAGGCCTGTCCAAACGAGAAATGTCTGATGACCACACACTCCTAAAACATGTTTGGTGGCCAAACTGGTCGTGATGTTGAACATGCTGTCCAAATGGTATCAAACATGTTAGATCTAAATGTAGAAGCCGGATAAAGCCTAGCATTTATGCAATATAAGCACAATATGTGAACACGCATCAGAAGGGCAAAACTTTGCTCCACAAACACTGGACAATATAAATGTTTGGCAACAGGTGTTTGTTTGGTTTTGACAGACTTCAAAGTTTTGAATATATATGTTTGAAAACATTTGAAACGATTAATGAACTTTTAATACTTTCAATTTTGAAGATCACATCTTATTAATATTCATGAAAAAAAAAAACTCCCGATACTCGAGGTTCGACTGCAATTAAATGAACTTACGCGATCGCATGGAAATCGTACCAATAGCACTATTAGATAAGCTTATCTTACCAGCGATGTAACTGTGCCAGTCGGCCCTCTGTGCCGCTTCTTTTGTCCAACTTTTCCGCGGCTCTCAAGACCTTCAGGGTCAACCGTCGTCATCACATCTTACACCAAGCCTCGTGAAACTGCCAACTGGTGGTGCTCTCGTAACTTTTGGTGCATTGATCGGTACCCCAAGAGTTGTCCTGGTCTACTAATTTCTTCTTTAACTGCCATTTCCACGACTTTCAGGTCTGTTTCGTAGTCTACGTATTTTATCTAGAAGTAAGCCATCCTACGACTCAAAGTTGGAAGACTCCACGCATACTGCGGATAGTCTCGACCCAGAAAGTCTGGAACTTCTTTGCGAGTCAAATTCTGGAGCACGTATTTCTGTATATCGGCTTTCAGGTTCTCATCGTTCTCCCAGGTTGGATTCCTTATTCTACTCATTTTGGAAGAGGGACTGTTTTGATCTCCTCATATCTTGTGGGCTCCTCTCAAGATCCGCTGATGGAAAGCATCACGGGCTATGAGAACATTGGGCCATAAGCTGAGCCGGCTGTATTCATATACAATAATTTATTTAATGCTTCCTTTGTTTTTGTGTTTTGCGCTTACAATGGAAACTTTAATAATCACATACTGCAAATATTAGGCACCAATTGAACAACCCTGATATATCAGGAGCTTCTGATGAATGTATTCTGGTAATGTGTTGAATGCATGAACGCAAAGCATCCTGGTCTATGATAACGACAGGCCACCTGGAAAATACGATGTTTTTTCGACGTTCTCTATTTTTTTCAATGTTGATTGTTAATGTTGATTTTCAATGTTGGTTTTTGATGTTGATTTTCATTGTTGATTTTTGACATGGATTTTCACTGTTGATTTTCAATGTTTTTCCAAATGTCGTTTTCCCAATAAAATTTTTCTAAGTTCTTTTTTTATTGCTTAATTATAATTTTACCATGGTTGATATAAACCTATGTTTTTCCTTTTTTTCTAGATATTTATAAATTTTGTATTACTTTATTATTTTTCTACCTTCTATTTTTATCCCTTATGTTTTTTTGTTTCTTTCTATTTTTTATTCTTTCTTTGCAAAATCGTACATGGTTTACTATGATAATGTCGGGCCACCATACTATAGCTTTAATTTACAATAATATTAAGACTTTAAATTAGAAGAAAATATATATATATATCTGTCTGGATTTGCAAAAAGGTACCTCCAGGAATTTTTTAGCTACAGTCTCATTTGAGGCTCGTTCAGTACTTGACCTAGTCTGCTACACCGCCGTTTTTAGTGTTGTCATGCAACATTGCTCCCCACAAACAGCTTCTGAGAACCAAACCACATTCCTTTCCCTTTGTGCTTGTGGTCTGACAAAGAAACCAATCATGTATAAGAAACTTGACAATACTTGAGCTGCAGGGCACTAGGATGCAAACATGCCTCTCAATTTTCAACAAATCAATCAATCGTCACTCAATAATTGGACAGCCAGGCTTTGTGTCTACAAGCCATGAAAAGCTGTTAATTAAAATTTGCAGAAAAGTTCCAAGTTAAAAAGAAAAGGTTCGATAAGCCTACAAGACTCTGACCAGGATCAGTTGATTCTTCAACGTGCATATGTCTGGGGGTACATGTATGCAGAATTTCATGTGCAGGATGTGGTCATTGGATTGCTCTGGGGTTCCTGTACACGTCAGGACTAAATTCCCAAGGGTACTGATTCAATTTAAAGCAATCTTATAAATTATCGATGAGCGATTTCCCAAAACTATACACGGAACCTTTATAAGCACATCCATGTTGAGCATGACATTTGCTCGACTTGCTTGCTGCTGCTGTTGCTTATCTCAAATTTTGAATAGGGCTACGACAACACTACTCAAGTTAATGGCTTGTTTTCACATGACGATTTTTATTGTTCTGTCTTTCACAAATGGGGCAACGATAACAGCACAGCTGTGATTGGAGGAGTCACCTTGGCGCCAACACCTTCCAGAAAGTGGGAGCTGAACTCTTATTGGTTAACCACAGGAAAGGAACGTGGTTTGATTTGCAGCAGCCATTTGTGGGGAGGAGCGTTGCGTGACAACAATAAAAACGGCTGTGTAGCAGACTATACTTGACCATACTATTTTTTAATAAACAAGCTGTAGCAGATCAAAAAATCATGTGTTTCTTGTGCTGTTTACATCTCTTTTACATGGGGCTCAGGCACAAGTTCTTGGCCTAAGAAGGATATATGAATGTCTGCCACCTTCGGCACTAACTGTCAGGCCCCCAAAACAATGAATTTAATTTTTCTGGAGTTGATGACCAGACTATTTGTGCAGCACCACCTCGCGATGTTACTGTGCGATTATCAGAGACGAAACGAAGAGTGGAGGCCAAGTATGTATTCACTTTTGTACAATTTAATGGTTAAAGGAGATTACATGAGCAAGGCCTAAGGTCAACTGAACTATTGTACAATCATATCAGGATATATAAGTTGAGCGCGGTTACTAAGTAAGGGGATTAAGGGCTAATCCCACATCCCCCTTTCTAGACATTTTGGTACTTCTATAAGAATGTCCCTGTGCAAAGTTCTTTAATGATAGGAAGTGAGTCAATCAAGTATTTCGATCACGAAACGAATCACGTATAACAAATGTTTTTTCAGTCCTAATCAAAACCTAATCTCTTGGGCGGGTTAACTTTTCTTCCGGAACGAGTAGTGTTTCCAGGAATGGGAACTGGAATGGAAGACTTTTGAGCAGACCGTAAAGCATCTTTCTTCTCTGCCGGAACAGGTGGCTGATCCTTAGAAGTTTCGGGAGGATCGGGTAAAGGGCTTCCTGCTGCGTACTTTGCTTCCTTAGGATTTGGATTGAGCTGCCGTCTGTTTCTTCTAACAGTTGCATTACTGTCAGTGTCGAGGTAATAGGAACATGGCTCTGGTGTTTTGCCTACTACTACCGTGTTCTCTTTACGATCAGGGATATAAGCACGATCGCCTGGTGACAGATGACTTAGCTCTTTAACTGCATGTCGTCTGTTGTGTTACAGATGCGGAGCTCAGCCAGGTCACCCTCCTCAGCGTTGCCCAGCCAAAGATGCTACCTGCAACGCACGCAACAAAAAGGGTCATTATTCCAAGATCTGCAAATCTTCAAAACGAGTCCATAGAGTTGGTGAAGATTCGGACGAAGATATCTCTTAATGACCGTCAATGAAGTTGTCAACGCAATCGAAACATCAGAGAAATGGTGTACCAATCTATTAATAGGAAACTCCGAAATAAATTTCAAGATTGATACCGGAGCGGATGTCACAGTTATTCCTGAAGAAGTTTTTCGCCAATGCAACTTAGGAAAACTGCACTCCACCTCCAAAAGACTCTTTGGAGCCTATCACAATGGTCTTCGTGTAATGGGAACAGTTTGTGATACTTTATCCCTGGGAGAAACGTGCGTGACGGAAGATATTTATGTTGTCAAAGGTTTAAAAGAGCCTCTTCTGGGACAGCCAGCGATTGAAAAGCTAAATTTACTGGCTAGAATCAATGAAATCCAAAGTCAAAGTTGCGAAGAAAGGATTAAAGCGAAATACCCTCGACTGTTCCATGGACTGGGAGAACTTGAGGGAGAATATGAAATCAAGTTGAAGCCAGACGCTCAACCGTTTGCAATCATGACCCCAAGACGTATTCCATTACCAATGAAAAGCAAAGTAAAGGAAGAACTTGCTAGAAAGAAGAAGCTGGGAGTAATCAGAAAGGTTGACAAGCCTACAAACTGGTGCGCTGGAATGGTGACAGTACCTAAATCAAACAGGAAACTTCGAATATGTGTGGATCTGACAAAGCTAAATGAAAACGTTTGCCATGAAACATATCCACTTCCAAAGATTGACGCCTTGCTAGGAGAGTTTGGAGAGTCCACAGTGTTCACAAAAATTGATGCAAATTCCGGTTTTTGGCAGGAGAAGCTAGCAGAAAACTCTCAACTCCTGATTACGTTTCTGACTCCCTTTGGCAGATATTGTTTTCAGCGACTCCCCTTTGGTTTAAAATCAGCACCAGAATGATTCCAAAAGAGAATGCTAAACGAGCTGGAAGGTTTGGAAGGAGTGATATACATTATGGATGACATCCTGGGGCATGGAAAGATGCAAAAAGAACACGATAAACGACTTGAAGTAGTTTTAACAAGATTGATCAGAGCAAGAATCACCCTGAACCCAGAGAAGTGCGAATTTTCAAGGAAACAATTGAAGTTCGCGGGCCATAGTCTCAGCGCTCAAGGAATAGGCCCCGATCCAGGCAAGACTGTGGCTATTGAAAAGATGGAGAGACCGCAAAATGTTGCAGAACTACGAAGATTCCTGGGAATGATCAACCACCAACAGAAGTTCATCGAAAACCTGTTAGAGAAGACTATGCCTCTTCGCGATCTCCTTTCAAGCAAGAACGAATGGCACTGGGGCCAAGCTCAAGAAGAATCTTTCCCTCGCCTGAAGAAAGAAATGACTCAAGTGCCAGTTCTCGCCCATTACTGCTCCGAGAAAGAAACTATTATATCTGCAGACGCCTCGTTGTATGGATTAGGAGCAGTCCAAGAGGATGACACAAAGAAGCCAATCGCCTACGCTTCGCACTCTATGACGTCTACCGAACAAAGGTACGCTCAGATAGAGAAAGAAGCACTCGCAACTACTTGGGCTTGCGAAAAGTTTGCCGACTTTGTCCTCGGTAAAGAGTTCCTTATCGAAACAGACCAGAAGCTGTTGGTGCCGTTACTAGGATCTAAATGCCTCCAGGACATGCCACCACGTATTCAGAGGTTCCGGATGCGACTGATGCGCTACTTGTACCAAATAGTCCATGTATCCAGAAAAGATCTCACCACAGCTGATACCTTATCAAGAGCGCAAAAGAAAAAACCAAAAATAAAACAAACTACCCTGATCGGCCCTAAAGAAAAAGGTGGTCTCTCATTGCCTGATTTTGACATAATTAACAATGCTCTCAAAGCAACTTGGATCAGAAGACTAGACAGCTGTCATCCCACCGCGAGTTGGAGTCACATTCCTGTTTCCCTGCTAGAGCGAGTCGGTGGTCTCTTCCTCCTTAAATGTAACTTTGAACTTAAACATCTTAACATACACATTCCATTGATCTTTTACGAGGCAGCCTTGTTGGCCTGGCAATCCATAAATTCGTTCACTCCCTTCTCAA